CTGGTTTGATGTTAGACTTTCCTCCATTTCTTAATATCCAACATAAAATACTAGAACTGTGTTTACCATCACTTCCATTTAGGGTTGCTCTGCTGTTCTTAAAGCTGCATTTGAAGTTAATGCAAATTACACTTTGAACATGTGAGATGCTGTGTAATGCTAAGAACTCTTGACAGCAATCCAGCACTTGATATTTGCTAGACATTTTAATAGCTTCATCCCAAGCATGTTAGCTCTCCTGCTGCAGACAGGATAATGTGCCTAGTACCATCACTGCTGCAAAAATATGTTAATTAATGTGGGAGGAAGCTGGGTGCCGTGGGGAGGGAAGGGCAGAAGCTCTCACCACTGTCACCCTTGTATGCAGTGGAGGGTAGGAAATAAAATAAGCACAACCTGAAGCTGTATGTGGAATGATCAGGACAGAAGGCAACACTGTAATCATAGAGCAGGGCATGGACACCCTGAAAGAAGAGTATGATCATGAGAGTCATGCAGATAAAGGCAGGGGAAGAACTTGTGCACAGAGTTAGGCACATTGCACCTGGAGAGGGATTTCTTATATTGGAGAACTTGTAGCTTCATCATTTTTCCTGTGTGATTTTGGCCAAAAGGTGTGCTTTTAATCTGAATGCTGCTGCCTCATATCCTGATGAATACTGACCGTGTTTAAAGGTCCTGTTGGTCTGCACTTTGTGTGTGTAAGTCACAGCATGCCCTCTTCCTTGCTTTCTATTGTATCCCCTGCACTCTTGTTATCTTCCAGTAAAAGGGATACCTACTTCAGCTCCAGCCCCACAGCCTCATCTCCTTTCTGACTATTAGTAATGTTCATAGCTTAACCACATCACCTTTGATAACTCCAACACTGTGTATGTGCTGATTATGAATTAGTCTTTTTAGTCTTCATTAGTCTTCATTAGTCAGGGACTCAAAATTACTGAAACAAAGCAGGTGCTTTGCATAGGGATTCCTATTGTGCTCAATATTTACTCTTTTCTTTTTGGAGGGTTGAGATCAGAATTGTTTCAAGTATGTGGGTTTTAAACCACAAATCTTCTCTCCTAAACAGCAAAACTGACTGTTCTTCAGTTATTATTACTGAGGCAAGCCCTTCTGTTCTGCTCAAACTTTCTGTAAAAATAAAATCCTCCACAATGCTCTTGAGATTAATAAGTTCTCATGTCTATTAGATCAAATACTAACCTCATCATTGTAGTTCAAAGATTTCCAGACTCTCTTTTTGCAGACATGTCTATTTTTTGTTAAGTTGTTGCTGTCCTGTTTTCCTGGTGGGATTCAGCAGCACTGCCTGGAAGCATGTGGCTGACTCAGTGTAGACTTACTGAGACCTTCAGGTGAGAACGGACTGCTGACAGTCCCTACTACAGTCTGTGGCTTACAGCAGGGGCAGCTCTGAGGTCAGGTCAGGCTGCTTGGGGCTTTAAGGGGTCAGTCTTTAAATGCCCCCAAGGAGGGAGACTGCAGAACCTCTCTGGACAATCTGCTGCACTGCTTGCCTGTTCTCACAAGGAGCAAATTTCTCCATATGTCATGTCTTATGTCATGTTTTCAGTCATGCCCATTGTCTTTTGTCCTCCTTCAGCACTGTGAAGAGCCTGTTTTCATGGTAGCACTGCTGTAAGTGCTGGTGGGCTGCTGCTGGGTCCCCCTGAAGAAGTTTCTTCTCTAGGCTGAAGAAACCTAATCCCATCAGTCTCTCCTCACAAAGCCTTGACTGTCTAGGTCACCTCCAGTAGGATGGAGACATCTCCTGTGCTCCCAAGACAGCTGCTGAATGACTTAGAAACACTCTGGCTTTCCTTTAAGGTGATGCCTGCATACTGTCAAACTGTGGTGGAGAGGAAGGTCCCTGCAGTAGACTGAGACATGGTGGTGACAAAGCACCATCCTTACATCCCCTTGGTAAAAGCTCCAAAATTGCACCCTCTGCTTGGGGCTGTCACCCTTCCTGCAACACTGAGATCCAAGACTGTGATTCTGTGTGTTTTGTAAATTAAATCCTTCAGCACCATGAGAGGGAAGTCCTACTTGTCCAACATGATTTCCCTCTACAACAGGGTAACCCACCTAGTTGATCTAGGAAAGCCATCAGATCCAACCTTTTTTGGACTTCAGGAAAGCTTTTTATACAGTCTATCACAGTATCCTTCTGGACAAAATGTCCATTACACAGCTAGATAACAGTGTTATGCAATGGGTGAGCAACTGGCTTATGGGTCAAGCACAAAGGATTATAGGGAATGGGTTGACAACAGGCTGGTGTCCAGTCACTAGTGGGGTTCTACCAGGCTCCATCAGTGGCCCTGTGTTCTTCAACAGCTTCATTAATGACCTGGATGCAGGACTCAAAGGAATGCTAAATAAGTTTGCTGATGACAGTAAATTGGGAGGAGTTGTCAACTTCCTGAGGGTAGAGAAGACCTGCAGAGACCTCAACAAATTAGAGAGATGGGCAATCATCAGTCGTAGAAAGTTCAACAAGTGAAGGGCCAGATTCTGCATCTGGAATGGGACAATCCTGTATGTAGGGACAGATTGTGGAATGAGAGGCTGGAGAGTAGCACTGTGCAAAGGGACCTGGGGGTCCTGGTATATGGAAAGTTGAATGTGAGTCAGCAGTGCCCTGGGAGCCAGGAGAGCCAACCCTGTCCTGAGGGGCATCAAGGACAGCATCGCCAGGTGGGCAAGGGAGGGGATTGTCCCGCTCTGCTCTGCACTGGGGCAGCCTCACCTCGAGTGCTGGGGGCAGTTATGGGTGCCACAATAAAAAACAGGCATTAAGCCATTAGAGAGGGTCCAAAGGAGGGCCATGAGGATGGTGAAGGCCTTGAGGGGAAGTTGTATGAGGAGTGGCTGAGGTCACTTGGTTTGTCCAGCCTGGAGGAGACTGAGGGGAGACCTCAGTGTGATCTTCCACATCCTCACGAGGAGAAGCAGAGGGGCGGGCACTGATCTCTTCACTCTCCTGAGCAGGGACAGGACTGGAGGAAAAAGTCTGAAGCTGTGTCAGCAGAGGTTTAGGTTGAAAGTCAGAAGTAGGTTCTTCACCCAGAGAGTAGTTGAGCAGGTTGAACAGGGTCCTTAGGGAAGTGTCACAGCACCAAGCCTTAAAGAGTTCAGAAAGTGTTTGGACAGTGCTACTTGGGATGTTGCTGTGCAGGGCCAGGAGTTGGACTCGATGATCCTA